AATGTTATTGGAAATTCTGGTAACTGGATCAAGTTCGAAAGTGTGACCGGAGTTTCTGTTATTGGTGGAACCCTAGATGCCCAGGAGGCTAATTTGTGGGCTTGCAAAAGTTCCGGCAAGAGTTGTCCAACCGGAGCAACGGTATGTTAATAATGAAGAAAGTGGATTTTACTTTTTGTCATGTTGTACATTCTAACGTAATTTTTCGATTCTTTCTTGCTCAGACACTGGCCTTCTACAATTCCAACAACATCATAATGAATGGATTGTCTTCAATAAATAGCCAGAAGTTCAACATTCTTGTTGATGGATGCCACAATGCCAAGCTAGTGCGAATAAAGGTTTCTGCACCAGGCAACAGCCCAAACAACGACGGAATTCACGTGGAGGAATCAACAGGAGTCACAATTATGAACTCTCGAATTGGCACCGGAGATGATTGTGTCTTTATAGGTCCCGGCACCTCGAACTTGTGGATTGAGACCATTGCATGCGGCCCTGGCCATGGAATTAGGTACTAAAAACGTAAATAAAAAATTGATAGCCACAATAGATATAGCTTTTGTTTGTCAACCAACCACATTCTACAGTACTCATTTTCAACTACACAATCTTCATTAAAATATATATAATCATACTCCTTACATCCCACAAAGATAAATATATTTCTATTGTCACACGAATTATGAAACTTGTAAGTAATATAGTTGAAAATATAAATTTTTCTTATATTTTTCCTAACATATTTCTACATTATATAATGGTTTAAATAAGAATAATTCATATTTGTTGATAGCAAGACACGTCAAATAGGATTATATTAGAAAACTAAGCCCCGCAGGGCATAACCCAGTGGTGCATAATACAGGAGTGAGATTATCTCAAGCCGCAGTGTGGGGGTTCGATTCCTGAGACGTGGAATTGGATTCCTTGTAGGCACAGTATACAGACAGCTCTTGTTCCCTGACTTATTGGGGCACATCCCGCGATTTACTTTCCTCAGAAATCTCTAGTGGAGGGGTGGTGGGGGCCTTCAAAGTTGGGGTTCAACCTTTTTTTATATTAGAAAACTAAGAAAATAATTATAATTTCAACAAGGAAAGTGACCTTTATTTTGGGATAGACGAAAATGGAAAGCAATTCTATTTTTTGGAATAGAGGAAGTATAACATAATGTATCCCAACAATTTATTTAGCTGAATTAACTAATTTGTGCTACTTTTCTGCAGCATTGGGAGTCTAGGCTGCGATTTGCAAGAACCTGGAGTGCAAAATGTGACAGTTAAATCAGCTACATTTACAGGAACTCAAAATGGGGTGAGGGTGAAGACATGGGCCAGGCCAAGCAATGGATTCGTTAAAAATATTCTTTTCCAGCATTTAGTCATGGTTAATGTACAAAACCCCATAATTATTGATCAGAATTACTGTCCCGACGACCACAATTGCCCCAATCAGGTAATTAAGATATGGGAACTCATATAAAAATAAATAATATATATATATATATATTCGAAGAATTTACACCATTCAATTGTAAATTAATTATGCAAAGCCGTCTCAATTTTTTCAGGTTTCAGGCGTGAAGATTAGTGATGTAACATATCAAGACATACATGGGAGTTCAGCAACAGAAACTGCAGTGAAATTTGACTGCAGCAAAGGAAATCCATGCAGTGATATTACCTTGGAAGATGTTAAGCTGACCTATAAAAATGAGCCGGCTCATTCGCCATGCATTAACGCCATTGGGAAGTCTTCCGGCTCAGTTGAGCCAAATAGCTGCTTGTCTCTTTAGAAAATTATTTACAGTATTCATACTTAAACAAGAATATAGGCCATATACATAAATCGAGCTATGGTAAGAATATAATGAGTAAAGAAAATTTGTATTCGATTCAAGAAATCAAAGTTTTCATATGAATGATAGTTAAAAACAAAAGCTTTGTACTTGCTGTAATCTGATATCCACTTATCACATGGGTATTGTTGACATCCGAACTCTGATATAGTATAAACAGTTCGCTAACCTCACCTCAGTTAAACGTAAGATCAGCCCACACTCCTAGGTCGGAGTTACCCACTGTTATCTTAAGAAAACATCATGATTACCCCTTGTTACATCACCCTATCAATCAGATACACTTGCCACAGGTGACGTCATCGCCGCCCGGAACAACCAACTCCAAGTCCTCGAACTCCAGCCACTTACAAGTCATCATTACCTGGGTAATACATTGACACATGACCACCGGCCTCATTGACCAATCATAGGAGAATTTGGTGACCCGAGTTCCGAGCTTGGTACTGTTGCTGATTTGATGTAATTTCGGCTGAAATTATGTATAAATAGTTGAATAGGACTCTTGTAAAAGGGGAGCGAATTCATATAACAACTTATGGCACAATCATACTAAATTGACATCTTTGTGGTCTTTTTTAAGCATAAATCGACTTTTTTCTTAAAGTTGGTTCAAAATTATCCTTGCTAATTTTGACATCAACAGTTTGGCACTAGAAGGAGGGCCCCTAATTGTGAAAAACAGTTTCATCTGCTCCATAAAAATTTCAAGAGCCATGAGTCATAGCTCAAGTTCCAGAAATCCATCTCACACTCACCCTCATGAAACGAATATACCACTGAGTACTCCACAACGGCAGGACCCTCAAATGATCGCAATGAGGGAAGCCCTAGAAAAACTGACAAATGCAGTGGAACGACTGGAAAGGAGCCAAGCCCATTCATCCCCACCAGATACTGAGGTGGAATACCCTGTAAGGACAAAGACAAAGCGTCCCCCCACCAGGAGGACCCTCCACTTTTCAAGAGGAGAATCATCAAGAAGCCACGAGGCCAAAAACAACGAACCCAAGGCGAGAAGGACTGCAAGTGTGTTCGACAGGTTGGGGATCCATCACTCGCTGACTCCTACGCAAGGACAAACCGACCTGAAACGTCCCTTGGAACAAACAAAACCCAAACTGAGCGTGCTTAAAAAATGCATCGTCGAACTGGAGGCTAAAAACAAAGGTGGCACTGAAGGTTACCAAACCAAACGACATTCTCCCTTCACTGAGGATGTCCTTATAGAACCACTACCTGAAAAATTGAAAGTTTCCCAGATCGCCACATACGAAGGGGATGGTGATCCCCTCAACTACCTTGACAAATACACATCGTGGATGGAACTATAGGGGGCAAGCAATGCAATCATGTGCCGGGCATTTCCCCTGACTCTAGAAGACAAAGCCCAAAGATGGTTTAGGAGACTACACGAAAGGTCGGTAAAGGATTAGAATGATCTAGCCACTGCATTCTTGGCCTAGTTTATGGGCTCCAAGGCTAGAACTACACCTAAAGAACGTCTAGTGAGCATCAAGCAGGGAAGAAGTGAATCCCTCAAAAACTATCTAAGTAGGTTCAACAAGCAATCCATGGAAGTGGAAAAAATATCTGACGATGCGTCACTCATGGCCACATTAGCAAGACTAAGACCCAAAATGAGATTCTGGTAGTCAGTACACGAGGACGGCCCAATAACTTATCACGAGTTCTTGAATCGAGCTGAAAAATACATAAGCGCTGAAGAAGCAACCTCTGACCAAGAAGAAGCAAGACACGAAATTGACCTCAGTGATGTGGTGAAAGAAAAAAAACCAAGCCACAGTCCCTAGCCAGAAAGAAAGAATGACAGGAGAGAAAGAGAACGTCCCAAGGCTCAGCCATACAAGTTCCGGGAGTACCACCCGCTCAAAGCTTCCTTGGAAGAGATATTCACGCAAGCTAATACAAAAGAAGCATTTCGCATACCTATAGTCCTAAAGGATGGACAGGCCACATAGTGCCAGGGATGATACTGCCGATACCACAGGACGATGGGCCATGACACTGATAACTGTCGAGACTTAAAAGAGGAAGTTGAAACCTTAATTCGAAGAGGTCGGTTACCGGAGTTTGTTGCCAAGCCAAAAGAAGCAGCTTGACCTATGACACAACAGCCACTGCTACAGGGGGCTCCCACATGAGCCCAGCAGGTAATCCCTAACCGTAACCCACCTCCACATGCCGAAATCAAAATGATGATGGGCGAAAATCAGTATATTAAAGGATCAAGAAGGGCCAGACGAAGGCAGGCCTGAAGTGTAAAAACCGTGCCGAACTACTAGAATCAAACCCCTAAGACCAGCATAGACCCTGAATCATTTTGGTTTACAGAAAAAGATTCTGAAGGAATCCTTCAAGACCAGAGTGACGCCCTGGTGGTCACAATGATGGTTGCCGGAGTAAAAGTCCACTGCACTCTAGTAGACAATGGAAGTTCAGTTAACATACTATACTCACGAACTTTGAAGTAGTTGGAAATATCAGTCCGCTACCTCTAACAATATCCAAGGAAGCTACAGGGATTTTCTGGGGATCCTATCGAAGCCCTAGGTCAGATAGTCCTTATTGTGGAGCTGGGCGAAGTTCCTTGCCAAAGAAGAATCCTAGCGGATTTTGTGACGGTCGATTTACCGTCCAATTACAATGTAATATTGGGACGGCCCATTTTGCACGAACTAAAGGCTGCCACATTAATTTATCATTATTGCGTGAAATTTCCCACCCCTTACGGGACTGGAATTATCCAAGGAGATCAAGCCACTGTAAAGGCCTGCAACGTCGACCTGCCAAGGCCACAAGTCAACATACTAAGGAATATGACGAACACACAAGCCAAGGAAGCCAGACCAAAGAGACCAATTTATGTCGATCTCTCGGAGATCGGCATAACGGAAAAGAATCTCAAAAAAGCCACAGATGAGTAACTATCCTTTGACAAGAAGGAGGCGGACCCACATCCTTACCACAGAGTTATGGTAATCTCGTTGCCTGTGGTCGGGGTAACCATCCCTAAAGTCTTGGTGGATATAGGAAGCTCTCTGAACATCCTATTTAGCAACACCTTTAAATGGATGGGCATCCCTGCTAACTTTCTTCAACCGTACCCAAATATGGTCCTAGGATTAAGTGGAGCCTTGACTTCCGCCAAAGGATCAATCAAACTCAAAGTTGAGTCTGGATCAGTACCCCGGCAGGTGAAGACGAACTCCGAGTTCGTGGTGTTCAATATCCCCTCCCCTTATGACGCTGTGATGGGACAGTCCCTACTCTTCAGCCTGAGAGCAGCAGTTTTCCTATATCACTATTCTATCAAGTTCCCCACACCGTGGGGTGTAGAGGAAGTCAAAGGAAACAGGGAGTTCGCTGAAAGATGTCAATGGAAAACCTGTGCCAGCCATTAACGCAACTCCCCGGAAGTACATATGGTAAACATATGGGAATCCGAACTCATTCCCTTAGACCCACAGACCAGGATCGAAGGCGGAGAACCCATTGAAGAACTAGAAGGAGTTTGAGTCTACGCTAAGGACCAAACAAAGGAGCTCAAAGTCGAGTGGGAGTTGCAGTCCTCCACCCGAAGCAAGATTGTGGCTTTCCTTAAACAGAACCTCGATGTCTTCGCCTGGGATCATAGTGACATGAGAGGAATAGATCCTAATATTGCATGCCACAAATTATAGGTGGATCCTTTAGTTCGGCTAAAGCAGCAAAATCGACGACCCTTGAACCCTGAAAGATATGAAGCACTCAACAAAGAGGTGCAAAAGCTGTTGAACAACGGCTTCCTCCTTGAAGCGAAATACCCGAAGTGGGTCGCGAATTTGGTCCTTGTAAAAAAACACAACGAAGATTGGAGGGTATGCATAGATTTCACCGATCTCAACAAAGCATGCCCCAAAGACAGCTTTCCATTGTCAAGAATAGATCAAATGGTGGACGCCACCACCGGACATGAGCTACTAAGCTTCATGGACGTGTATTCCGGGTACAACCAGATACCGATGTACGGCCCGGATCAATAACATACCTCATTTGTAACTGAACGAGGTCTTTAATGCAACAGAGTAATGCCATTCGGTCTCAAAAACGCTGGCGCCACCTACCAGCCACTTGTGAATTCCATGTTTTCCCTGTAGAATGGAAAGACAATGGAAGTGTATGTTGACGATATGCTGGCCAAAAGCATCAAGGCCAGGGACCACTGTCAACACCTAACTGAAATGTTTGATATACTGAGGAAGTATGGAATAAAGTTGAACCTGAGGAAATGCGCTTTCGGGGTCAGTTCTGGAAGATTCCTAGGTTACATTGTAAACAACCGAGGAATTGAGGCAAACCCTGAAAAAATACAAGCTATCATCCAAATGAAGCCTCCAACCAAACCTAGAGAGGTACAAAGTTTAACCGGAAGGGTTGCCGCCCTCAGTCGGTTTGTCTCCAAATCTACGGACCACTGCAAACCCTTCTTCGACACATTACGAGGAGGAAAGAAGTTTGAATGGACCAAAGAATGCCAGGACGCCTTTAACGAACTAAAGAGACAACTAGCCCGACCTCCGTTGCTTTCAAAACCTAAGGCAGGCGAGGCCCTGAAGCTATATTTATCTATTTCAGAGCATGCCATTAGTGTCGTTCTACCCGAGAAGAAAATGACGTTCAACATCTAGTTTATTACATAAGCAAAGTGCTTCACGAAGCCGAGATTAGATATTCCCTTGTAGAAAAGTTGGCATTCACCCTACTAATGGCAGCGCGAATATTGAGGCCATATTTCTTGGAACACCCCATTGAGTTCCTTACCAACTCTCCATTAAGATAAACGCTACAAAGGCCCGACACCTCTGGACGGATGGTAAAATGGGTAGTAGAACTCGGACAATTTGCCATCAAATACACGCCTCGTTCCTCCATAAAGGTCCAGACACTCGCCAACTTTGTCTCTGAGTTCTGCAACGTCCCAATTGAAGAACAACGGAAAGAAACGCCTTGGAAACTTTATGTCGATGGTTCATCCACCGGAGAACAATCTGGAGCCTGCGTCGTATAAATCAACCCTGATCACCGCATATTCTGCG